TGTACCCAGAAACAGGGCCCTTCTACTCTATGTACCCAGAAACAGGGCCCTTCTACTCTATGTACCCAGAAACAGGGCCCTTCTACTCTATGTACACAGAAACAGGGCTCTGCTACTCTATGTACCCAGAAACAGGGCTCTCCTTTCTCCCCGCAAAGGGGGTATGCAGGAGAATGACACAAACGGTGCCGGTCCGGCCGAAGCCCTGTCACCCACATCAACCTGCCCTCTGCGTACCCCCCACTGTCCTTATCTCATCCCCTGGCACTGGCTGGGTGTAGACAGGGCTCCGTCGAGCAGTTCATTTTGCCTTCCTCAATGTCCTTTCCCGACCCTGAACGGAGATTACTGCCCACTTGGCTCCCCCAGGGAAAGTTTTGTGGGGCCTCAAAGACCAGAGTCATCCTCCCTAAGAAGTCAATGCTGAACAGGGAAAGAAGCTCTTCTGACAAATACAAAATACACAAATAAAACATAGTAGGTTTCTTCCAGTACATCCTATCAAAGCTTTCACTGGCTTTTCGTTGAGGGTTTCCTTGGTTGATTTGGGGTGGGGGGCAGATAGAGGATAAAACAAACAATATTCATAAAATTATATCGTGTACCTCGATTATCTGGATGTTTTTCTCCACTTCTGATGTTAGCTTCTCCTTCAACTCAACTGCAATAAAAACAGTAGACAATGTCCAGCTGCCCCATACCCGGTGACCAGGGAGAGGCCCCACTGTCTGCTCGCTGCTCACAGGACAGGATCTCTGATGAAGCAGATGGCGGGGACACCTGGTTCCTACAACACACTGAGTGAAGGCTAGATCAGAGGAGAACCCAGTCATGCATGAGCGGGGAGGTGGGGGAGTCGGGGGGCAGGGGGAGGGGGCTGTGTCATCTCCCGACTTCTGGGTCACAGAGCCTCCAAGCCACAGAGGACTCAGCATGCTCCTTCTGTCTGATGCCCACTATAGGCCAGACTCCATGCCAGTCAGATAAATACACTCCCAGGTCCCAAGAGACCCTCACTCACAAATAGACTGGCATAAGCATGCCATAGCACCACAGAGCCCTGCAGAGTCCTGGTGATGCAGTGGGTGGGGGGAAGGGCTAGGTGTGGACCAGAGGGCTAGTCTGAGTACCTGGAGGGCCCTAAGTCAATAGGTGTTCATGCCAGGGGCACAGAAAGGATGTAGCCAGTCCGGGCAAGCAGAAGGCACAGTAGGAAAGAGACAACACCTTCCGACAGGGGAGTCCTGAGAAAGCCCTGCTCTCACTCCAAACAATTGAGAGGTGTTAACGCCAGGCAGAGAAGGAAGCCCAGCACCTGCCTAGAGCAGCTGGTGGCACCCTTGCCCTTCTGCAGGCCGCGGCAGAGCACATCCAGGGTAGCACACGAAGAGAAGGCACATGGGAGACTGCGTAAGTCTGGGCTGGGGCTAGATCAGGGGTGCTCTACTGGCATCAGCACAGCGAGAGTGTGGCATCCATTTGTGAGATAAAAGCTGAACAGAGAAGCAAAGAAGGGAGCCTCACAGCCCACAGGGAAGTAAGGTAGCAGCTGGTGGGTATGGGTTCTTCTCAGGATGAGGAGGTTCTAATTAGATAGTGGAGACAGATGCACAATCCTGGGAACACACTCTACATACTTTAAAGGAGGGAATTATGTGGCAACCCCATCTGTCCACTGCCTGGAATAGTGGGGGTTGGGCTTGATAAAGTTGAACTGCAGAGAGAGAGCCCTTTCAAAGATGTAAACAGAAAAAAAATCAGCCAACCATCTTCTAAGGACAAGGTTTCTAACATTAACACAGGTCCAGGGGAGGTCTTAGCATTAGGCACAATGACGGAAGCATGCAGGAGTGGAAGGCCTGTCCAGGGTCGCTGACCAAGGCCCAGGGCCCCAAAGTGCTGGAGCAGCTCCCACACTCCCACAGCACAGGAGTCACACCCTAGGTCGGTCCTACACACAAATCCATTGGCGAACCCTTTACATAGGTGGATCCAGGGGATATACTTCCTTGCTTCCCAAAATGGCAGACAGAAATCTGAACTTCAGAAAACATGCCAGAGAAGAGAGTCAGAAGCCTGGCCTTGGCTGGAGCCATGTCGTACCTGCCTCTTGCCCACATTGGAGCGCTAGTGCTTCCTTCTCTCGCACATGCTGCTCCCGGATGAGCTCCAGTTCACTCTGCTGCCGGTTCTGCACCAGGGCCAGGTCCTGGGCATGGCGCCCATTGAGCATCTCACGCAGCTCAGTCAGCGCCGCCTCCTTCTCCTTCTGCAGGTTGGCCTGGGTCAGCTCCAACTGTGCCGTGTGCATGTTGCTCAGGCTCAGACGCAGCGCTTCCAACTCCAGGGCGTGCACCGTCTGGGAGGTAACACACATGGGTGAAGCCAAAGACTACACAGCCCACACTTGCCAGGGGGAGGCTGCTCTTGCATTGGAGATTGCGGGGTGGGATGGCGAAATTTGTGCTACCTCGCACCACAAGCCCACAGCGAGTATCTGCCTGCTTTATGACAAATCGCCCACAATTCTCAAAACCCCACTATCGCCTGAAAGGAGGACCGCGTCCCATGTAAGAGGCAGAGCATGCTCAGCAAACAGGTGCAAGGGTTTGTCTGCAGGACTTGCGAAGGGGATAGCCTGGGCAGCAGGCACCATGTCACCTGGGTCTGAAGCTGCATCCGCTGCATCTCCGCCTCATGGGCCGCAGCCACCTGCTGGAGCTCAGCCCGGAGCTGGGCAGTCTCTTCTTCATGTCGCCGAGTCAGGGCAGCAACCTCCAGCTCAGGCCCCTGCTCACAGGCCTGGACAGGAAAACAAAGGTCATGACCGAGAACGGACAACCACTGAAAAACAGTAATGGAAAAATACATACGCAAAACACTGAAGAGGTTTAGTGCAAAGTTAAAAACACCAGACACAGAAGACTGCAAACTCCACTTCCACCTCTCAGTAGGCAGTCACGCACCTCCCCAAGCTAGTTTGCTCATCAGCAAAACGATGAAGGTAACAGCACACAGGAGACATGTACATTACAAACATGTGGCAAAGGGGGAGCCAATAAAACTACACAAAATAGAGGCAAGTTTTAAGAATCATTAAATAGCCACTAAAGCAGCAAATATGGGTAATAATATAATTGATCCCAAGCCACTGAAATCATGATGAAACAAATATAACCAAATTCCATGACCAAAAAACTGAGTTTTAAGACTTGTACTCATTAAGGGTCACTCGTAGTGTGGTGAAATTTTAGAAGTTTTGACAATTTCATCATGTCATGTATCTACTAGTACAATATCATACAGAATAGTGTCACTGTCCCCCCAAAATCCCTTCTGATTGGCCTATTTACCCTTCCCCTTACCTCCCTCCTCAGGAGCTCTGACCATCACTGATCCTTGTATTGTCTCTAAAATGCTCTTTTCTAGAAAGCCATATAGTTGGAAAGAAACTTCTCACAGCAGTCTTTTCAGATTAGCTTCTTTAACTTCACAATATGCATTTGGTCATCCATATCTTTGCCTTCTTGTTCACAGAGCTTGGCTTTGCTTGACAACCCATTGCCTGTTTTACAACTGGACAGTTTCCACTGTACGGATGTACTATATTTTTATCCATTCAGTTTTTTCCCCCTCATTCATCTAGTAAGGGTATGTTGGGTGCTTCCACCGTTCAGCAATTCTGAATAGAGCAGTTAGAAATAAGCGCATAAGGTTTCTGTGTGATCAAATAGATAAACACCAAGGAGTGTGACTGCTGAGTCACATGGTAAGACTATTTAACTTTGTAAATATCTGCCAGTTGATGAATGAGAGTTCCTACTGCTTCACATCCTTGCCAGCATTTGGTGTTGTGTTTGAGAATTTATCCATTCATGAGGTGTATTCTATTGTGACTGACCCATTAAATTTTCATGTCACATGTTTGGTAAAACGCAAACAAAACAGGGGAAGCCTTGATGAGATGGATTTACACAACAGCTGCAACACCAACAATCAGGAAGGTGGTGTAGGACCTGCAGCTGTGTAGTAGAACCAGGCTGGAGGGTGGTGGCATGTCTGACCTCTGCCTTACAGAAACTGCTTTAGAAACTAGAAGTCAGTCAGACGTGGCTTCCACACCATTTCCCCAATTGGTTTCAGAAGTGTAGGGCTCATTAGAAGTACGGGGCTTTGTAAGAAAAACAAAGGGCCTGAGAAGTAAAACTTTTGATTCTTAGATGGCTACTTTATTTACTATTATCTGTACTGGCTAAGAGTCGCTCTGGTGGTACAGTGTGTAAAGATGAACTGAGGCACAGGACGAATGAGACGTAAACTGAGGTACAGTGAGAGGGACAAAGATAACTGAAAGGACAAAGGGAGAACAAAAACAGAACTAGCTTTATGAGGGGGGAGCTCCTGGGCGAAGCCCCATGGTCTAGCAAGTAGCCCAGGGGAATCGCGGGCTTTGTCCGGGGTCTGGGGTTTTTAAAGGAAAGCAGGGAGAGGGAGGTCCGTGCTACAGCAGCAAGGTTTATGGCCCAGGTGTCGTTTATCAGCTCTGGCAGGTAGGCTATCGGGTTATCGGGGAGTCAGGCATCCCTGGCGTCGTTTCTCGGTCTCCTCATTCCAGAGGGCAACTTGCTGACCTCCAGGGATACGCAGGGAAGTGGGGCTGCAGCCTGCTTACGCTTAGCCCAATCATAATGGTTGCCAGTTGAGCTGCGATCTGCATGGTCGGCAGTTCGAAACTTGAGTGGCTTAGAGGGAGAAAGACTGGACTTTCTACTCCTGTAATCAGTTACAGTCTCAAAAATCCACAAATGGAGGGTAGGGGGCGCGCAAAAACCCCACAAAGGGGGTCACTATGAGTCAGCGTGGACTCAATGGCCGTGAGTTTGAGTGGTTTGTAATGGCTGAGAGAAATGTAAGAAGTGATGTGCTGTATCAAATGACATGCTGTAAGGAAGGAAAGCTGCCTCTGGAATGGCGTGGGGCAAGAGCTAAATGGGTTAAGTAAAATGAGGGAGGGGCCAGGGCCTACTGCCCTGCCTGATGCCCAAGCCATATGCACATAAACAGACATAACCTGGAAGTGGAGATGAAAAAATTAAATTTGCGTATTCTTTAAGAGGGTGAAAGGAAGGCTTTACTAAGTGCACCATGGATACAGAATGTTTCTCCTACCTAGCAATGTCAGATAGGCCCACGTGTGTGTGATGAAATCATCATGATTATCATGATTAGAGAGAGCTTGTATGTAAGCCCACAATTAGCCTACATCTGATTGAATATGCTAAACAGTGTATTAAGAATCGCCTGGCAGGAACAGGCTCCATTTTAGGCCAGAAGCCTACTGCACAGTGAGGGTCTTAAGTAGAAACTGGAGCCCCACCCAAAATTGTTGAAAGGACAAACGCTTTCCATTTGAAAGGAAGACCAGTAAGGGTGCAGGGAGATGGCTTTTCAAATTCTGAGCAAACAGTTTGCCATTGCATGCACCTAAGCAGAAAAAAAGCCTGTGTCCATCAGAGAAATCCCCCTTCTGGGACTGAAATTTAGAGGAGCCCCGGTGGCTGCTAACTGCAAGGCTAGCAGTTCAAAGCCACCAGGAGAAAGATGGGGCTTTCTACTCACACACAGTTACAGTCTCGGAAACTCACGGGGCAGTTCTCCCCGGTCACTATGGGTCAGCATAGGCTCAACGGCAGTCAGTTTGTTTGTTTGTTTGTTCTGGAGGATTGAAATCTAAAGGTAGCTACCAAGCAGACAGCATGGTCTGCTTTTATGGTAGCTACAAGTCTAGTTGTTGAGTGAAAGGGGGGGGGGGGTGTTTGAAAAGCAACAATAAAGAGATGGGCTGAGTTTAAACATGTGCCATTAGCACTTATTGACCTGGTCCACAGAGGCTAGAGATGATTAAGATGATTAAGAAGGGCTGGCTGGTCTGAAATTTTAAAAGTTGTGCAGGACTATGGGCATGACCTAGCCCAGAGTATGGCAGAAGCAAGTCTGAGTAGAGGCCCAAGTAGAGGTCCAGAATGAGAGGTCAGGGCCATGCAGGGCTCAGTGGCATAGGCCTGCCTATGGACATGGCTGAAAATACGCTGCCCTGATTGAAGAACTGTATACTGAGCAGTTCCTGTTAGTTGCAAGTTGATGCCCATCCTGAATTACAACCTGTTACTCTACTGTCTAATAGAGAACATCATTAAAATTATGATCTATGAGCTCTGTGTGGGCACTGGAACCAATTATCAAAGCCAGCAGAGTTCCATAAGGCTCCATGGAAGTAGCGTGCCAGAGGAAGAATGTCTAGAGTCAAAACTGGGGAAAAGGTTGGAGAGTGGTGCTGTCTGACCTTGCACCTCATGAGAATTAGCATTGGGCTAACACGAATCTTGATTATTCACTCCATCCCACATTAAGTTAGATAAGGCAGTCGGACCACATATCACTCTTACAATAAGTCACCATTTGATTAATGCCTCAGTAATAACTTTTGCAGGCAAGAATCATCCATGAGAGCTAAAATTAATTAAAGAAAGTACCTTGAGAAACAGGGTATTTACAGATTGAGGAGAGTATCTCTCCACAACAGACTGATTAACTAAAAGGGAATACAGTAACTTTACTTTCAGGAGACAGAAAAGTAATCAGACACTGCAGTAGCCACATGACCTAAGTGGGCATCACCAGTAAGGAGTAATCAAGCCCCAGCAAAAGTAGGCCTCCCAATGGGACCAGCATACATTGTTTCCATAGTGCTTTCGTCCAAAAAATGCACATGGGGAAACATCAAACAGACCCAATCTACAGAACAACTCATCCAAAGAGCTGTTGTTAGATGCCTTAAAGTCATAATAATCCTACGGACCACAGAATGAAACACAGCCCAGACAAACACATCTCCTCACAACGGTTCTTACATTTACATCCACTGTTGCAGGTACTTTGTCAATCCAGCTCATCAATAAGGCCTTCCTCTTTTTCACTGCCCCTCCACTTTACCAGGCATGGTGTCCTTCTCTAGGGGCTAGTCCCTCCTGACAACATGTCCACAGTACGGGAGATGAAGTCTTGCTGTCTTTGCCTATAAAAAACATTCTGGCTGTACTTCTTTTTTTTTTTTACTTTTTAAAAACTTTACTCATGTTTTGGGATAGCATAGCACAGGCAGGGTATCCCCAATAATTATCATTAGGTGGTCTTTTAAAGAGTGGTCTTTCTTAATACACTGTTGTTGTTTTTTATCATTTTATTGGGGCTCATACAACTCATCACAATCCACACATACATCAATTGTGTAAACCACACTTATGCATTCATTGCCCTCATCAGTCTCAAAACTCGCTTTCCACTTGGGTTCCTGAAATCAGCTCATTTTCCTTTCCCCCCTCCCCCGCCCTCCCTGCTCCCCCCTCCCTCATGAACCCTTGATAATTTATAAATTATTATTTTTATCTTATCTTACACTGCCTGGCATCTCCCTTCACGCACCTTTCTGTTGCCCATCCCCCAGGGAGGAGGTTATATGTAGATCCCTGTGATCGGTTCCCCCCTTCTACCCCACCTTCCCTCCCGGTAGCGCCACTCTCACCACTGGTCCTGAGGGGTTCATCTATCCTGGATTCCCTGTGTTTCCAGTTCCCATCTGCACCGCTGTGCATCCTCTGGTCTAACCAGGTTTGCAAGGAAGAATTGGGATCATGATGGTGGGGGGGTGGAGTGTTTAAGAACTGGAAGAAGGTTGTGAGTTTCATTACTGGCTGTACTTCTTCCAAGACTGACTTGTTTGTTATTTTGGCACTCCATGGTTCTTTCAATATTCTTCACCAGCACCACAGTTCAAATGCATCAGTTCTTCTTTGGTCTTCTTTATTCAACGTCCAACTTTCACACGCATATGAAGTCACTGCGAACACCAAGGCTTGGGTCAGGCCTTTCTTAGTGCTCAAAGTAATTGCTTTTCAATATTTTAAAGATGTCTTTTTTGTGCAGCAGATTTACCCAATGTAACGTGTCCTTTGACCTCTTGCCTGCTGCTTCCATGAGCACTGATTGTCAACCCAAGCAAGACAAAACTCTTGACAACCTCAATCTTTTCTCCATTTATCATGATGTACCTACTGGTCCAGTTGTGAGGAGCTGGGTCTACTTAACACTGAGTTGAAATCCACAGGATGCTGAAATCCTTGATCTTCATCACAGCAAGTGTTTCAAGTCCTCCTCACTTTCAATAAGGTGTGTCATCTGCATATCGTGGGTTATCAAGCCCTCTTCCAATCCTGATACCGCATTCTTCTTCACATATCCAGCTTCTCTATTCGTTCAGCATATAGATTAGATAAATATACTGAGAGGATACAGCCCTATCTTTCCCGATTTAAACCATGCAGCATTCCCTTAGGTTCCCACAAATGCCTCGATCCAAGTACAAGTTGTTCTAAAATTCCTATTCCTCTCAAGGCTAACCCAGTTTGTTATGATCCACACAGTCAAATGACTTTGCATAATCAATGAAACACAAGTAAATGTTGTCAAAAGAGTACAAGACGTTAAAACACAATGCCGGCCAGATGCTCCCCCAGGATGATGCAGGAGCACTGTGGCAAGGCCTCCAGATTTTTTAAGAAAGAAAAGCCCAGACTCATAAGTAGAATACCATAAAATGTGTATACTGGCAATAATCCGGTGGTTTGTTCAATACAATCCTTGGCAGCCAGTTTTACTGCTCGGTCTAGCAAACACCTTCCCTTGCGCCTGCCCTGCTGCACATCAGCAAGAGATGTTCAAGGCTCAGGCCCCCTCACTGGTAATTCTCACAAGAATCCCACCAAGAGTTGACCTGAGTATCTGGCAGGCCCACTCCCTCAGCCACCCACACTCCTCACCAAGCTCCCACCAGGCCCAGGGCCCTGCAGCTCTCAAGGTCTCAAGCCCCAGACAGCTGGGGAACTTCCTCCGCAACAGGCCATTCCTTCCACGGCACTCACCTTCGCCCTCCCGTCCTATGCCCAGTAAGCAAGCAACGGACCGAGAATGGGCAGCAATCCCATACAGGAGTACACAACTGTTTTCGAAGAAGCCAGGCACAGAAAACTTCGGCTCCCAAAACAAGTGTCAACACCGAAACCTGCCTGCAAACAGTCCAGTCCCCATTTCCTCAAATCCATTGACTAAAGACAAAGTATTAGGAGTAAAACCATAAAAATGTATGCATCTTTTATGAATTGAAATCAAACTCTCTTTCCTCAAATTTGAAAGGTAAAGAGACGCTCAAGCTCGCCTTTGGTAACAGTATGGTAGGAATAACTAGAAGATAAGCAAAATGCTAAGCAAATTTACCTGAGCTGCAATTGCCCCTTCTGCCTTCTCAGGGGTGTCGCTGCAGGATGTACTTCCCCGCACATCCCTTTCTCCAGGGAGACCGCTGTCCCCAGAGGCTAGCGGACTCTCCTCCGGGACAGGCGCATCGACAGGCCAGCCCTTCCTCTTCGCCGTCTTTTTCTTCGAATTCGTACTGTCACCTTTTGCTTTTCTCTGTCGGAAGTGAGCAAACTGCGCAAAAATGTAGACAAGTAGTAAAGGCAAAGATAGGTGAGAAAAAAGTAGCAGACCCACAGAGTCAACAGACTCGTGGGGAACATGAGGCTCTGGCCTGGGCTCTGTCTACCTGGCCACACCTGGCTAGACTCACATCAACCAACAGACCACTTTCCTACAAGCCCTGCCTTCATCGATATCTGTAACACGAGGATTTAAGTTTAGAATTATACCCAAGAGTCTACTAATGAGAACCATTAATTATGCCTCAACACAGACAAAAGAAGGAGAGCAGTAAGGCTGGTTGGCAGAATCGCTTTTCTAGCCTTTGGCAGTTTATAGAAAAGGAAAAAGGAAAAATGCATTTATTAAAAAGACTGATAACACAATTGAGGCATACTTAAGGTCTAAAATTGTATCAAAGAGCAGTCTCTCACTCTTTTTGCCTCCCTTTGCCCCCAATCGTGGAGATGTGTAGCCTAGCCAAAACTTCCAAGCCATAGATTCTGAGATGAGGTACAGAAATAGCAAAAAATTAATTAAGCTAGGTCAATCTAATATCCTCCTTTATGGAATCATATGCTCTATTTTTCACGACCCAGCTCACCAACCCACCAGGGACCTCTGAGAGTGTCGCCCGTCAGAAGGCACAACCCAGAGCCCCATTAACACTGATTCAAGAAGATGAGCTCTAACATCTGCCTTTCCCTCAAATGACAACTGCAGTCATAAAAGCAAATTTGCTTAACAAGAACATTGATATAAATGGTGATGGAAGTGCATAATTTCATGGACACGGGAAAATTGCATATGGCTACTTGGGTGAAAATTATATTCTTTCCAAGGACAGATTAGCCTTTGGAACCAGCCCTATTTTATTTAACTTGCGTCCCATCAAACTGACTCTGAAACAGAATGGGTGCATGTGAGCAGTTTCTGCTACACAGTCTTTCTTTCTGGCCTGGGATGGCCTAGAGAGAGGGGGCGTGTTTCTTCCTGAACAGCTACTAATCTCCCATCATGACCATGAATGCTTCTGGAGGCACTACTGCACACACTGACTGAACACCTGCAAGCTCAGAGAACACACATGTTGATACTGCCAGGCTCATGCCCATAACCTTTTGTCACACACACACACACACAAGCTCATGCCCATAGCCTTTTGTCACACACACACACACACACACACACACACACACACACGGGAACCAGAGCAGCTCCCCTTCAAGCCCCAGTCACAGGCTCATGTTCACATACAGTCAGATAGGACCACCCTTCCCTTAGCCACTGTGCCTTCCCTGCCACAACCCCTCACGCCAAGTAATGTGAGCTCCGGGGTGGTGTCTGCAGGGGAATAACTAGCACTGAGCACCTCTTGTGAGCTGATCCACATGAAATCACCAACCTCTGAGGTCAAGCACAGCAATGTCATTTGGTTCTGCTAAGGCCCAGCTATGCAGAAAGAAGTCCTGTTCATTCCTGGATGGGATGGGGCAGCCTCACATCCCAATGATCTTTTCCGCCTCTAGAGCCTGGTCACCTACTCTACCAGTCTTAATCCCCACAATATGCCCCCAAGCTGTGGGCACCAAAGCAACGTTTACGTAAAAGCTGGGGTAGAGTAAGCTGAGGAAACACCAGAACTCACAGAACCATCAACCCTAGGAGGGTAGGTCTGGGTGTCTGGAGCATCCCAAGGAACCCCAGCAACGGGAACAAACACGACAAGCAAGGAGGCAGCCTTTCCTAGAGAGAGAAATGGTTTTCTCCTCCTCCACCCTCACCTACTCAGGAGTTCTACCTGGGCCTCAAGTAGCTCCCAGGCAAGTCAGGAGTGCGGATGCCCAGGGAATGTTAGGCAGAAGGAAACACTCCCCAGAATGTAGATGAACCACACATTTCTGAAATACATTGCTGTTGTAGACCCTTGAGCCCACTCAGATTCAATTCCAACTCATGCCACCAACACTACCCACCCCTGCTATCAGGCCCATTTCAACTCACAGAGACCTTCTAGAACTGCCCACAGGGTTTCCAAGTACATAATCAATCTTCAGGGGAGCAGATTCCCAGTCTTTCCTCCTATGGCACCACTGGTGAGCTGGAACCATGCAGCAGCTACTAAGCCACCATGGATCCTGAAACACTCTAAGGCAGTGGTTCTCAACCTACCTAATGTCGCGACCCCTTAACACAGTTCCTCATGTTGTGGTGAACCCCCGAACCATAAAATTATTTTCCTTGCTACTTCATAACTGTAATTTTGCTGTTATAAATCGGGCGACCCCTGTGAAAGGGTTGAGAACCGCTGCTCTAAGGGCACCTTTTTCCTATTAAAATAAACTACAGAATCTCAAAGAAAATGGAAATCTGAGTATAGTTATATGGCAAGGAACAGAGCCCCTTTCTGGCACCCGCTGGCCTTCACCCTAGCAGGGCTGCAGCCTTATTATTGCCGGGATGTTCCAGAACCAAGGAAATCCTGGGTTATCAGGTAGCTACGAGTTGGAATGCAGGCTAAAATGAATACTGAAAGTACCAAACACACTGTCTTGGAAGAAGTGTGGCCAGTTGTCAGGTGCCAGTGAGTTGGTTCGACTACCGACAGAGTGCTCCTTAGATGCAAGGAATGACAAGACTTCCTTTTATATACTTTGGACATGTCAGGAGTCCCTGGAGAAGGGCGTCGTTTGGTAACGTGACGGGGTAGTGAAAAAGAAGGCCCTCAAGATGGATTGACATAGTGACTCCAACAGTGGGCTCTAGCCTAGCTAGCACTGGGAGTCTGGCCCGGGCTGGGAAGTGTTTTGCTCTGTGGTGCATAGGGTTGCTATGGATTGGGGCCGACTTGAAGGCACCTAAACTACGAGAGCTGGAATCAACGCGATGGCAGTGAATTCGGTTTGGGTTTGAGGTGGAAATGGAAGGTGGGGAGTTTGGAGCCTGGTGGCAGTTCGGAGCCAAGTGGCATCACTGGTTTTGCATTTAGCTGCTAACCACAAGATCAGCAAACAGTTCACCAACCACACTGCAAAAGCTGTGTGGAGCTTTCTGCTCTTTTATAGATGTACAGCCTCAGAAACCCTAAGGAGCAGGTCTCCTCTGCCCTGTATAGTCCCTACGGAATGGGAACTGAGTGGATGGAAGTGGTTTGTTTTTGGTTTGGGGAGGTGGAGCCCAGAGAAGCAGCTGCGCAAGTAGCAAAAGCACGCTGTCGTCATACAGCGTCCTTGCGCTTTTACTTGTGTGGTTGGCAGGCAAGGAGACGGCCGCACTCATGGGCTACTGCCTCTTCCTTAGAGATCGCTTGCAAACGCCGAGGGACCTTTGAAAAAGGTGGACCCGGAGGACCCAAGCCATCCCTCGTTTCCAGGGAAACACCAAGAGGCGGGGTGAACAGGGGATGCTGTCCAGAGTCCCTCCTCTTTCAGGGAACTAGCTTTCCGCTCCCCATCCCTCTCCGTGCAGGATCTAGACCCACCTACCTACCCCCACCCCTCTTTCTTAGCATAAAGTCGTGCCTGTCTGCACAGGCGCAGCTCGACCGCAGCCCGACGTCCCCCGCTGGTTTCCCGGGGAGCCGCCGTGCGTCACAGCCGCTGATTGGCTGCAGTCGCGGCGGGGGCGGGCACAGACAGAGGGCGGCGAATTCAAGATGGCGGCGGCGAGGAGGCGGCTGCCAGCTGAGCCAGCGGAAAGGGCAAGACCTCGGCAACGTGCCCACATCTTACACCGGACAATAGTGGACACTGGGCCCTGCCCCTACGACTCCACGCTGGGGCAGCGGGAGGAGAGCATTGCCGTTTACCTTTGCCCTCCCAGCCTCCACCTTTCTCCGTCGCTGCTCCTCCTCATCGTCTTCCATCTCCCTCTGGGACTCCTCGTTGGCTGCCTAGAAGGTGGCGAGGCCGACGCGACGCCGCGGTCGCTCTATTTACACTTCCTCCCCCCGTGCCTGGGCTCGCCCTCCCCCCACGACAACTGTCACGCAGCCGTAGGCCCGCCCTATATCCCGGGCGCGCGACCTGATGCCGCTGGCCTCCGACGCCAATCAGGGGGCCGCGTTCCTGCTCTCGCGCATGCGCACTAAACCCTGCTCCCGATAGGGGAGGTGCAACCCGAATGAAGCTCCGCCACAGCTGCCCACCCTCTGGTCTCCGATTGGCGCGATGGTGGTCCGCCTCCCTCTGGGTGGAACCAATGAGCGGAGCGCGGAAGCCGCGGAGCTGTCTGTAATTGGTCGAATTTAAAAGGCTCTGCCCTTCCAATGGGAAGGCGGCGGGGGTCAGCCGCGAGGGCTGGGAGCTTAAGACGATGCTGGCAAATTCGCGCCGCTTCTCCCGGGCGCTCGGGGCCGCGGGTTAAGCCCGGGCTACTGACTCCTGGGCGCGGTCAATGTCGCCCGTTTGTCTGCACCGGTCACATGACATCGACACAGGCCCTCAGAGTTGCGTCTGGTACGATAGCGCCTGGAATGGACTGTCACAAGGCGGACGCCCGGACCAGTTGTCAAAAGAATGGATGAGGCTGGCCTTGACCCCTTTAGGCTCTTTTGGAACAAAGCCCGAGCCCCTGTTGCACCGCGAGATACTGGCGGCATGAACCCACTAGTCTCCGATTCCAGGCGCTTGCACCCCAAACATCCTGGATGACTATGTCACATCTGTCCCTGAGTGGCCTGCTTGCTCACGCCCACTTCGCTGTTATTTCCTCTTGGGCCCATACCACTGGTATTTGGGGACAGCAGCAGGGATCCCCCGAATGTGAAGGCTCTGACTGCTCTTGCCCATCCTGCATCCCAGAACTCGCAGCTCAGAGCACCCAGCAAGAATACAACGGGGTGGGCTAATCACACTGCTTTCTTCTAATGGGCCTGTATCGACCTCCTTCCCTTTTGTAGGGTGGGCTTTCTCTGAGTGGGTGCTGTACTGGAGTTGTTGTGGCGGGAAAGCAAGAGCTAAAGCAAGAGTGAGCACAGGGAAAGGGTGAAACGTGATGAGGCAGCAAATGGATAGCCAGGCAGAGTTGTCGTGAGACAAAATGGCCAGGCCATCTAGTCATTAGATGTGGGCAGACCTCAAGGACCAGCAGTTGCAGACACTGGCCCTGCTCCCTATGCTCGGGCATCAAGTACTTCCTTGAAGGGGCTTCTGAGCAGCACATCTTGTTCTTGTGGATGTACTGCACATAGGCTTGAGCAACTCAGGTCTGGGGCTTCTCTGGGTCTGGGAACCTCATAAAAGGCAGGTGAATGAAGGAAGCTGATTGCTGATTTCAGGATCTTGCTCATCATTCGGTTATGGGTTTCCCCTCACCCTTGTTTGGAACATCTGGTGGCTTGACCCAAACCTTCATTCCTCAGGGGTCTGAGCCCTGACTACATGTCCTCAACCTGGGTTGCTCTGTTTGTCCATTTCACCATCACAATTGTATAAGAAATGAGCAGAGGAACGGGATTCTATCCGTTTTCTTTCCTGCCTTATCAGTTACCCCTGGTAAGATAGTGAGTACTTGCTGCTGACTCTCAGACACAAGGAATCCAGAGTGCCAGAGGCAGCAGCAGTTACTCAATGGGATTCTTGCAGCCAGACATCCAACCCCCAAACCCAAAATTTCTAGGACAGAAAGCACAAAATCCCCCAGTAGTCTGGGAGTAGAGTCACTCTTGGCCCATTCCTTCTATTGGAGGCAGAGTGGCATGGAAAGGTCTTGGCTTAATGCATTTGCGCAGGCTGATGCGATTGAGTAGTACGGTGTATAATTGGACCAGTGTATCACACGGTCATAGGCCCACTAGATTAAAAAGTGTTATGAAGAATCCTATACTGGTGGATCAAACCCTTGTGAGCCCTCTGAGAGAGGGTTGGCAAGACGTATAGGCAGGGAAAGAAAATGCATGCGGATATGTGATATCTCTTCCTGTTAGGATACACTCTGAACACCACCACACCCCCAGCGCTCCATATAATTGACTTGCCATCAAGGGCCCAGTTGGTCCTAAAGAACAGAATCATGGTGGTGCCCAACACCCTTCTCTCTTACTGGCAGGTTGACTATTGGGTGGTGGTAATACCTATACTAAACTTGATAGGAACATCCAGGCTGTTTAGCCCAGGCCAAGCCTCCATCTCTGCCTCTGTGGCCACCCTGTTCCCCAAATCAACAAGTCAGAAGAGTGACACAGATACATAGCATCCACTGACTAGGACATTCTGTATAGTGGTTGTTCAGAGCTTCTGTGGTGGCATTAACATATGATTCATGTGGGAAACTAACACTGAGGGAAATAGGACAAGGACTATATTCCCTAACTTATAACAGAGGGAATCTGGAAAGCTAGTATTCCACGGTGGGAAAGCCACCACAGTTAGAGATAAAGTCCAAGTACATTATCCTGCGTTCAATATATTCCCACAGAGTCTTCCCTAACAGCTATGCTGCCTTAACGTGAGCACATGTGTGGGGTTAAGGGTAAGAGGGAACCCCACAAAACATCACAGGTTCAGTAGGCGCAATTGTACAGCGATAATAAGTAGAGATTATAGTAAAGTCATAGAGAGCATGAGAGTTAAAGGATGGAGTCAAGTAATGGAGTCAGACGCAATTCATGGTAGCATAGCTCACCTCAGCTAGGCTTGATGGTCCTCGTGGAGGGGGCTTAGCCATCAGAGAAGAAAGCCTCTGCTTCGTCCTCCTTAGTCACCTCCAGCCACCCTCTGGCCAGCCACCCTCTGGCCAGCCACCCTCTCGACAACCACCCTCTGGCCAGCCACCCTCTCGAGAACCAGGGAGCCTCATTATTTATTGCTAACCACGCTCATAGAGTCATACATCACAGAAAGGGGCAATACAATTCATTCTAGAACAAGTTTGATCACTCTAATGTCTCACATAAATAAAACAGACAATTACTATCCTGGGAGGCATGCAAGTTCCCTGATAGTGGACAATAACCTGAGTCACCAGGAGGGATATTAACATAGGCAATACAATCAATAGAAGAGGAATCACCTAGGGGGTGTGTGCCCACATTGGTTGTGGAATAGACAGTGGTGTCTGCTTGATCTAGACAGCTGATAATGGCTAACTAACCTTGGTCACCCTTGGGCGGGTTTGCCCTCTCTTGCAAGTGAATAGACCACCATTATCCTTGTCAGAAGGGAGTGGGTCTTATTCAGGGTGAGTCAGACTAATAGTCTAGCCACTACAGATGGCCGATGTTAAGGAGAATAACCTCTGACCTACTCTCGCTGATCACCTATTGTACAGTCACTCTTAAGCAGCTAAGTTTGGTACATATTTTGGGGAGACAACTTAAGAGAAATCCTTCTGTTCCCCACACACATGGTTGATTCTCTCTCTCTATAGAAGCAGACATTCTTGTTATCTCCTTCTGCCGCTGTACCCATCCCCCCTCAAGCCTTCCCCTCAATGCAAGCATTAGGTTTCCTCACCTGTGAGCTCAGGGACTTTACTATGATTACCACCCACCTTGTGATGTATGTAACTCCTGAATATGCTTATCAAATGTCCCAAGACAATAAAGACTCCCTCTCTCTTCTCCCACCTCCACGTGGACCACCAAGAGGGGCTGAGGTGAGCATGCTACCGTAAAATGTGTCTGACTCCTTTATTCTATCTCCTCTCCTATTTCTCCTATCTTCTAAGACTTCACTACCATCTTTATATATTATAGCCGTACAATTGCTCCTACAGACCCCTCAGTTGTTAGAGGCTGGTTTACTCTGACAGATTCGGACTCGGGGAGGACCGTGCAGCCGGAGCAGCTGCTGAGAGGAACACTTCCCTGGGGCACTCTGCCCATATCATGGGGAGATAGATGCTGCTGCCTCTCAGTCTTGGGCCCTGGAAGTTGAGGAAGAAGAGCGGAAGGAGGCTGTTAGCACCTGGTCCTCAGTGGGTCTGCGGCTGAACAACCAGTTTGTGGATGAGATGGGGCTATCAGGCTCTGGGGATGGGACTGAGGGGCCTGGGACTGAGAAGCCACAGCTGTGGGGACTGAACAGGACTTAGAGAAGGAGGAGAGTTTTGACTGGCCTTGGTCCTAACAGCTCCAAAAAGAAGCAGGATTTTTTTTTTAAATCATTTTATTGGGGGACTCATACAATTCTTACCACAATCCATACATACATCCATTGTGTCAAGCACATTTGTACATCTGTTGCCCTCATCATTCTCAAAATATTTGCTCTCCACTTAAGCCCCTGGCATCAGCTCCTCATTTTTCCTCCTCCCTCCCTGCTCCCGCCTCCCCCTTGAACCTCTGATAATTTATAAATTATTATTTTGTCATGTCTTACACTGTACAATGTCTCCCTCCTTTCACCCACTTTTCTGTTGTCCATCCCTCAGGGAGGAGGTTATATGTAGATCCTTGTAATCAGTTCCCCCTCTCTACCCCACCCTCCCACACTCCACCCTCCCGGTATCACCACTCTCACCACTGGTCCTGAAGGGATCCTCTTTCCTGGATTCCCTGTGTTTCCAGTTCCTATCCGTATCAGTGAACATCCTCTGGTCCAGCCAGATTTGTAAGGTAGAATTGGGATCATGATAGTGGGGGTAGAAGAAGCATTTAGGAACTAGAGGAAAGTTGTATGTTTCATTGTTGCTGCACTGCACCCTGACTGGCTAGTCTCCTCCCTGTGACTCTTCTGTAAAGGGATGTCCCATTCCTACATGGGCTTTGGGTCCCCAATCTGCACTGCCCCTCATTCACAATTATATGATTTTTTATTCTTTGATGCCTGATACCTGATCCCTTCGACACCTCGTGATCACACAGCTTCTTCCATGTGGGCTTTGTTGCTTCTGAGCTAGATGGTTGCTTGTTTACCTTCAAGCCTTTAAGACCCCAGATGCTGTATCTTTTTTATAGCTGGGCCCCATCAGCTTTCTTCACCACATTTGCTGATGCAC